AATTTACTTCGTTCAGTTACGTATTGCTTCATGCATGGTCCCTGAAGTCCAAACTTTTTAACCCAGTTACACAAACGTCCTTCTGCATCTTTGGCTCTATCAGGCCTAGCTATTTGGCATTGAACAAAGACCACTTCTCATATAGCATCACGCTTACAAACATAAAGGTGTCTGTATCTCCGAACTTTACAATCAAACGTGGGGTCTTTGATAGAACAGTGTGCTCGGCTTGGCCAACTGCACCTTGCGTGAAAGTTTCACGATCAACCTTGCCAATCCCCAGATTACAGTAATGCTTTACCAGCCAAACTGGATCTGGGGGTCGACCTCTTCGACGACGACGAGCAAAAAAAATATTTTTGGGCTGTTTGCGACATTGAACGTGAAACTTTCACACAAGGTGCTGTTGGCCAAGCCGAGCCTATTGCTCTAATAAAAACCACACGTTTGATTGTAAAGTTTGGAGATACAGGCACGTTTATGTTTGTAAGCGTGATGCTGTATGAGGGGAGGTCTTTGTTCGACAATCTAGCTGGACCCTGGCAGAGCAAGATACAGAGAACCTCTTCGGTAACTCGAAACACGTTTGCATGAATGAAAGGGTCAATGTATAATTACTTTATGGATCATCTAGAACAAGCATGTGTGCTAGCTATAACGAGCCACTTTTATCCAATCATCATTGTTGCGAGATCCACTTCATGGGAACGTGCCCCTGCTCTAGACATTCATTTCCATGATTAAAGTAGGTTGATCCGAGCTGATTTGACTGAGCTACGGTCAAAGAGAGATTACATCACTCTGGACATAAAGCACGCTCGATGTAGCTCAACCGATGTAATCTTGTGTGAGCGTAACTCAACCAAATCAGCTCGGATCAACCTACTTTAATCTGGAAATGAATGTCTGGCGCAGGAAACATCGTCCACCTACGATAGAATGCACAAAAGTTGGGAATGCACAAAAGTGGCTATTAGCTGCCAATGTATGACGTAAAAGTGAGGGTTGCGTACCGTTCATGCATTATTCACAAAGTCTGACTTTTTAGCTGAGTTACCCAAAGGGTCTTCTGCATCGCTGGCTCTCGAAGTCTAACTACTTGGCAATGAACAAAGACGACAGCTCATATAGCACCACGCTTACAAACATAAAGGTGCCTGTATCTCCAAACTTTACAATCAAACGTGGGGTTTTTATTAGAGCAATGGGCTCGGCCTTGTGCTTCACCTTGTATGAAAGTTTTGCGTTCATCGTGGCCAATCCCAGATTTCGCAATGTCGCTACCAGCCAAACTGGATCCGGGGCTCAACCTCTTTCGACGACGACCAAAAAAATATTTTTTGGGCTGTTTGCGACATTGAACGCGAAACTTTCACCACAACGCCTTGTTGGCCAAGCCGGGCCGGCCTAATAAAACCCATTTCATTGTAAAGTTTGGAGACTTCTGAGCACGTTTATGTTTACATAACTTTGTAAGCGTGATGGAGTTGCTTTTCCTAATGGATGGTGTCGGCTGCATGAACAGAAAGATGAAGTGCTGCTGAGTGTAATGGCACGTGGTAGTTACACACGAGCGTCCTTGACAGATTGTTGCACAAATGGATCATGATCATGTTTGCCTTGAGGAAGGTAAGTAAGTATACAACATCCAATAGTGAAGGTGTGTCAAGATTTGTGTATGGCAATAATGGTGGCTCCATATCGCATTTGGATTCTGTGGAGTGTCGAGCTGCATAAAAGGTGATGCGCACGGACCATGCTTGATGCCTTCACAGCCCGGTTAGAAAGTTACGAGGGGCATGTACAATGAAATAAAACAGATACTAGTGTATGTATATGTGTTTGATCGGTAATGTAGAATTCACGTCGCCTCAAGCAGAGATCAAACCACTCATTATTCATGATGCATTCGTTGGATGGGCAGTGCTATTACTTGAGAGCCACATACATAAATGCTTGGATCAACAACAATACCAGCAGTACACGATGATGATGTATATTAACGATGCTTTTATTCCTGAATACCCTATACTTTTACTACAACCATATTCATCATAGCCATACAAGAGCAACACGTTATGACTTTGGGGCAAGTGATGTTGTGTGGAAGCTCCCGACTCAAGCCGCAAAAATCAAAGTCTGGCGCCTTAGCCATTATGAGGTCGGGGGTCCATGGAGACGCCTCAATTTTAAGTTCAGCAGCGTCGCGACCAGAAACAAATTGCTGCGGACCACTTGGCAACCTCCACCTTTTTCTTCTCAACTCACTCGATCGACTCGCATGGCGTGCGTGCTTTTCCTACTATCACGATGTTTTGGCCAAAGTAAGTTGTTTCTATCTTTTCGTTGTGTTGCTTGTAGTACTCACCGTGCCTTGTTTGCAGCGACTTGGGGGACCTAATGGTGTGCATTGGAAACTCTTTGCCGCCCCTCACCAGCCCGGTTTCCACACAAGGCTTCCATGAATCCCAGCAGATCTTGATAAGGAGGTAGCGAGGATGTTGGCCATTCCTCGTAAACTGGCTGCCCACTACGTGTCGGCGTGTTGTATGGGCGTTTGGCCGAGGACGAAATGCAGACCGGTAGCAGTGTCCAGGGTGCACTAATAAAAGACCGCTATCCAAAGATACCAACAAGTGGCTCTTGTTTGGGTAATGCCAAAGGATTCATTGGAAGGAAACTAGGAGGGAAGATAAGTATTCTTTCACCTATTTGCTCTCGCTCACCAAAAACATGCTACACTTTTCTATCTCAACAAAGACACAAGCATGGTTTCTTCCAAACGAGGTTTTGGCGCGTCAAGTCCCGGCACCTTAAAGTGGCATGTACAAGCGGCCTCGTCGACCTGGAATTGGTGCCTACAGGTAGAGGTTGGGGATGGTTGAGTAGCGACCTTCTCGTTGGTCATCCCTGTGAGTACTTTAGCCTTGGCTTTAGGAAACCAACAGCTGCTTGTTTATTATAGTATTGTAATCATTAAACCATGTTCTTTGATTGATTAAACATCCTTGTCTTTGCATGTCTGATAACGCACTACCAAATAACATTTGGCTGATCTTGTATGTACGTAAATTGAAAATAAAAACTCACGATCCAAGTGATGTTGTTATGGTGTGCTCATCTATCAATGTTGTCGTGGTATGTGTGTATCGATGCCATCATTACCAAGTCTCATTCCATGCATTGTTGTATATGTAACCAAGTCTCTACATTTATCCTGCAACTAAGACACAATGCTGTTGAAATCATCCAAGTGGAACAGCTGCCCATGTCAATCATTAGGTTACTGTAGTAGCCTTTGCGAGATGCATCATCATTGCGCTTGATCCAGATGAAAAATAGAGTACTTATCTTTATTACAAGACCGATCACAGAGCCACTTTTATTATCCCATCATCTAAGCTATAATCCACAAGCAACAGTAAGAAGGGAATAGGCTACATAGATAATTGCAAGTATCCGAATAACGATGCTTCTTGCTACCTTGCCATGGTCGTCTTCATCTATCATAGTCGCCGTAGTCATGACTGCCATCCAAGGCACACATAGAAAAAGGAATCTGTCAAGCAACGTCACCTTGCCATGAGAAGGGTAAACCACGCTTGTTTGTGTCCTTGTCGTTACACCGATGTCATTGTCGTCTCCATAAAAAAAGAGAACAACTCTGCAGGAATCACATAACCAAATCACCATGGATGCCATCACCTTCATTGTATCCACAGACCTTCGTTTTTCTCATTCATTCTCTCCAACAAAGAAGGAAGATCCCTTATTATTACATAAAAAAGGTAAAAGAGAGGAAGAGAAAGGGTCTAATTGATTCATTGTGTTTTGAACAAAGACTGTATTCGATTGTATAGCGCACCTCCTTTGTGATTAGATGTTGTCGATACGCCGTACATAACACACCTCCCTTTTTTGTGATTTAAATCCTGTAAGATCGATATACGGCGGAAGATCATTGTAGCCATGGCAATTTTGAGCGAGTGGTGTGTGAATCTCCCCTTGGATTTTCATGCTGGGTTGACAGCCAAAAATATTCTTACATTGTCCTTTCTTTCTTTACCATGTTGATCCACCCCGATCGAGCTCGTTTGCAAGAGAGCAATTCCCGATTCCAGCGCAACAACAAACGCAAGTTCAATGATGACGATGGTGCTGTTGTAGCAGAGCCAAAGAAACCCAAGATCGATCTACCAGAGAATCTCAAGGCGCATATTGTCTTTGTTACCGGTATCAAGGCAACCGTAACCGAGACGGCGCTACGTACCCATTTTGGTGGTTGTGGCAACATTCAGCGAGTAAAACTGACGCCACGCTATGCCCATATTGAATTTGACAACAAATCGGCTGTTGAGGCAGCACTCAAGATGGATGGTATCCCGTTGGTGGAAGGCGAAGGCAAACTCAAAGTCAAACTTGCCAAAGAAAGTGTTGCCAATGGACAATCGGAAGTGGTGTTCTTTACTGGTTTTGATACCATGCTTGAAATCGCAGACATTGAAAAGGCAGTGCACAAAAAGTTCAGCAAATATGGCACCATCGTGGGTGATATCCGGATACCTCTCAGTCACAATAAAAAGAGTCTCAAGCGACCCAAAGGCGTAGGCTATGTCAAGATGTCCTCCGTGGATGAAGCCAAAAAGGTTATCAAGAAGCTCTCTGGCAAAGAAGTCGCCGGTGGTGTCTTGCGTTTGGATTACAGTGAGGACATGTCAACAAAGCCAAAGAAGGAAAAGAAAAAGAAGAATAACAACAAAAAGAAGCCATCAACAGAGGAGGATAATAGCAATGTAAAAGACACATCATAATATTGAAAATAAATGTGTGTGTACAAAGAAAGGAATCAATAGTAGTTGGTGGTGGGATGGGCGAGAACACACTAAAGCTTGAATGATTGCACACAAAAAAAGACAACTCAATAATTAGCGAGGAGATAAGATCAAAAAGGAAGAATAGTATCGTGTGTTGGGGTAGTTTTAGCTACGTTAACCAAAAGCAGGCACGGATCTAGTACATAGCGTGTGAGTCCCATTGTTGGATGAAGGTGTTAAATGGATGTATACTTACTGGTTGGATTGAGCAGGGCTTCCCATAGCTGGGCTCACAGCAACAGGGGGGCTATTGGGGAGAGTGTCTTGGGATGTGGCAGCAGCTGAAGGCTGGGATGCTGTGCTTGCACTCGATGGATTGGTCGATTCTTTGATAGCCAAAAGTTGTTTGGCACGGAATGCTTCATAATGAATTTGGGCTGTGGTTTCAATCAAATCTTGTAGATGTGTACGTGTCAAAAAGTTGCGCAAGTAAATGAATTCACAGTGCTCTTCATTCTCCACTATAGATGTCCATCATTAGTATCCGTATCATCCATCATCACCATAAAACACCCTTCTTACCGTTAATGACACCATATCGATTCTTGCGACCTCGCACAGCTTTGCCATCAATGGTTACATTGCGCTCTGAGCCAACGATGGCAAAAGGCAGCAGCTCCTATATATTAGAGACCAATTAGAATCAACCTACCAGCGATGATGCATCATTTACACGTACACGAATACTTTCATTGAGAGCTTGTTCTTGCTCATCATCCTCGTCGCTCTCATAAGGGTACAACTTGATGTTGTGGAACACCAACTCAGCCTTGATCTGTGCGGGTGTAATTTATGCATTAGAATTATGGCGGAGGCCAATCATTCATTCGTTACGTTACCCTTTGCTTGAAAGCGTGGCGTTCTTCAATCGTCAACGAATCTGACTTGGCAATGACAGGCACAACATTGACAACCTCGGACAGTTTCTTGAGCACAACAATGTCAATGGGCTTCAAGCTACAATGACCAACGACGTTAAAAGAGGTGCTGCTGCTGTTGCTACCCAATGGTGTCAACGATGACTTACGCATGACCTGTGGGGCTGATAAAGAAGAGACAACAATGCACACGACTATCTTGGATATAGCGATCACGAGTAGCGGTTAATTCCTTTCGCAAATAAGCCGAATGTTGATCCTTGATGTATTTGATAATGGGTTCCCAGCTGCAACCATATACACGCACGCCATCAGCATCACATCATGATACGATCATTATCGCCCTTATTACCAGTTCTCGTTGTTCACCTGATCTCCGTAACCAGGGGTATCCACAATGTTGAGTCTCAGACGCACTCCGTTCTCCTCAATCACTGGGAATCGTGATGATAATTAGATATACAACAACAACAACAACAACAGTAGTTGGATTAGCCTTGATATACACTCACAATGGGACACCGTTTGAATCTCTGTTGTCTGTCGTGGTGGTTCTTCAGTAGCCAAGCGTGCCTTGCTTTCAATCAAATGTGATGCAAAGATGGTGTTCACGAGCGTTGATTTGCCTAGACCGGATTGCCCTACACTAATGTCAGCATAAGACGATACCAAACGGCGATATGGATCTACACCCCACAAGGAGGAGGAGGAAGAAGCATAGCTAATATCCAACTTACCAACTACCATGACATTAAAGTGGAAACCACGTTTCAACAATTTCTTTTCAATTTGCTGTGTGATGGTGTCAAAGCCGACATATCCTTCCAACGAGACCTGGTTGATGATGATATGGAGTGATTGCCAAGGGTAGTATGGTGGTGGGAAAAAGAAAGAGATCGTAGCATGAGTTTGGATGTGGTTGTTTTTTTCTCCGTGGGTCTATGTGTTATAGAAAAAGAAAACTCACCGCAGCAGGTTCAGTGATAAGTGATGAAGATGACATTTATCGTTCAAGAATAAAGGGTAGGAAAGAGGAATAAGAAAACAGGCCAAGGAAAAGGAACATAAAAAAGGGACGCCAGAAAAGAAAAAATAAAGGGCTACTGGATGCGGGGTTGTGTTGGGGGGAAAGAGCAAAAAGCAAGGATGCAACAGGGATTTTCCCTTTTGCTGCTGCTGCTGCTGCTAATATTGCTGTTGGAATGTTATCCAGCACTGCACTACTATTCATGACATGCTTTATTTACCTGGCCATTTATGAAAAATCATCCTCTGGTGCTGGAGAAAGCATCATCCCAACCCTTTATAACTTTGAATAGCAGTACAGCGCTTATACAGGTGCCTGGGACACGCCTTTGATCACTCCGTTTCACCCCCCTTCTTTATTATACACACCTCCTTGATATTCCTAGGAAGCAATCTTGCTGATGGCAAACGTACATACATAATCATACGTGTATGCCACACCACACATTATTACTATTGTTGTTGTACAGAGAGCTTGGACTAAATCATAATCCGCTCTCCATACCATTACCCTTAACGTCGCATTTTGGTTTTGCTAGTGCACAGACTACTCATTGTATACGGCCTTGCCAGCTATCATGAATGTCTTTATGTTGTTGTTTTCATGGTACCTGGAATACCATTTCGTGTAACATGAGAATCAAGCAGCCTGTTAATAGCATGATCCACATTGCAATGAACATGTTCATAAAAGCATAGTATGCTGTGAACGTGCGTTTATATATGTGTGTGTGTGTTACTATGCAATGTTTACACACGATTTCGGGTGGTGGTGTCATGCATCGGGTGTCTCCGTTCAAAACAGCCGACAAGATCCCAAAATGGAAATGTTTTCATCGTCGAGGTATATGGGTTTTTGGCTCGAACTACTGTTTTTGTTTTTCTTTCTTTCCTCCCTTGATTATTTTTCAATGCGTACAAGGCCACGAACACAAAGCACTCGAAGCCAGGGTACTCATAAACACATTACTCGTAGAAATCGCAAAGTAATCCACTCATCATGCCTATGCAGAGATGCTTCAGGAACTTTTTGCCGAGATTAATGATTACCTTGGAGGTATGCTTCATCATTAAAAGAGAGGGCAGACTACTAAATAGGTGAGTAGATAGCCCAAAACCAACTCAAACGGGAAATGTGCCTTCATCCACCATCACCACCAACGAGTACCCCATCGACAATAATGACGCACCACCCATCTTGTTGGAGTCAGATGACGAAGGCGAAAAACATGAAATTGAAGCCAGGTACGCATTTATTTTCTCATTGTGCTTTTCATTTATCCCCATCATTAAGAATTGAGACAAACTAGAACACCACAAAGCGCATCGTACGATGATTATGATGTGTGTCCCGTCACCGAAGATAGACCTTCTGTTTGTATATGCTACAAGTGCAATCGTGCACGGCGTCGTGAAAACAACACGCCACTCTACGACCAAATGGAGCTCCCCAAAGAACGTGTCACACCTACACGATCACAGAGTACTATTATTGATAGTAGGAACGGAACGAGCTATGGTGGTATCAGCTTTGGATGCATTGCCGACCGAGTCAAGCAAACATTTGGCAGCAGCACGGATCACAAGAGTGGTAGTACAAGTACTAAAAATGATAAGCCTGCACGACGATGGATATCTCGACCCAAGAGTTTACCTTCTTTAAAGTCGACGTTTGGAATGACTGAAGGGGGGAAATCTTCTCCTCAAGCTGATATCGTCATGGCAACATCCTCATCAACCGGTTACAAGCAACAACCATCGTCTTCTTTTCACTATCAACAACAACAACAATATGAGGTGCCAGCTGAAGACCCGTATCAAGAACAACCAGCACATGCCGTTATGGCTTCAACCGGTTTACATGAACAGCAACTGCCCTTTTTGACACCATCAGCTCGTACCGGTAATGAGCATGTAGCGCTTCGAATGGCCGAATCAAGAAGTATTCCCAGCCGACAAGATCGCATGATGGCTTACAGTATGTGAGATTTTTCTTTATACAGAATCCCTATTACTCATTTTTGATTTAAAAACAGCCAATGCGTATCATGATTGTATCATGGCACGTACCAACATAATCCCATGGTTGACCAAACAATATAGTAAAGGCCCTCCCGATGCCATGTTTGGTAAGTAATGTATATACATTGTAAAATGGAACATGTTCTGAGATTGCATAAAGAATACACACCCAAACCACGCAAAGTGGGCAAGTCGATTCTATCCATCTTTAAAAGGTGTGCAGAAAAGCAGCAGCAGCAACAGCAGCATAAACAACAACAACAGCATATGCAACCTATATCGACCTATATTGTTAGCACAAATACACCATCGCCGTTGCCATCTCAACAACAACAACAGCCGTCGTCAAGTGACCCAGGTCTTGCTTACAGTAGTAGCAGTAGTAGCAGCAATGATACCACGCCCATCAGTGTCTTGGGAAGCACCAACACCAACAACAACAACAATAGCCATATCAGTACCAGCAGTGGTAGTAGCATCAGTATCCATCATGAGACAACGCCTTCACCTTCTTCATACGGCAACCAAATGATCATGGATGATCCTTGTTCCTCGTCTCCTTCCCTCATGTTGGCTCCTTCATCATCGACAGGCCATACGAAACAAAAACAACCTGTATCGATATTGAAGAAGACACGTTCATCCACCTCATTACCACCACCTCAATCCATGGAACAAGATTATCCACCACGAAGTCGACTTTTACGTGCAAGACGCCATTGTAGCATGTATGCTCCTCCTCATCCTCCACCCCTCCCACCCCACTTGATGGATGATTTGTATGATCAAGATGATTATTATGATGGATTGGATGATGATGATGATGATGACGAGTACTATTATCGTGGGTATAGTCGACAATCACTGCCTCCACCTCCACCAGTGGCCGCCATGAAGTATGAAGAGGATGGTCCCTACTATGATGATAGCATGGATGAAGAAGATGAAGAAGAGGCATACTATGATGATGTGGATGATCCATACTATTACAACAACAACAGCAGCAGCAGCAGACGACGCATGTTGTCCCGTGCAAGACCCCCTCCATTGACACGCATGTTACCACCTCCACCACAACCACCCATGATGCGAAGAAGAAGGAGTTTATATATGGATGAGCCACGACGACGTTTACGATCCACAAGACGCGTCTATTGTTGAAGACCTTGTATAAAGTTACTTTAGGATAATGATGCCATGCATCTATTTTTATTATATATATATATAAACGATCTAGTGGTGATAAAACAGAGAGAGAAAACAAATCCATTCATCCATTCATATAACATCAACTAATTCCCTGGTTGGTTAAAGACATCAACATAGCGAGAACGCATAGGTTTTTTCCTGCCACCAGCTCGTCGTGCACCCGTCGATGATGGAGGAGGTGGAGGGGATGTAGCTGAACGAGGAGGTGGAGGACCACCACCAGCACTAGCAGGACCACCTGGTGGACCACTCATAGTAGACAAGGCAGGACTTGCGGATGCTGCTGGTGGAGGAGGAGGAGGCGTTGAAGTAGCAGAAGGTGGTGCTGGTGTACTTGGCTTTGAAGCTTTTGGAGGTGGCGGAAGAGCAGGTGCTGGTGCAGGAGAAGGTGCCTAAAAAACACAAACATTTAATATCGCTGGTACGTTCACAATATATTAATTTCACTACTTACTGCTTTGTTGACCCAGCGTTTTTCCTTTTCATCATAGTAAAACGTATTTTGTTCACCCAAGTTGGCCTTGACAGCTTTCTTTTCCTCCGATGGCGTAGAGCTACGTGAAAAGAGAGAAAATATTCTCCATCCACCCTTTCCTTCATCTTTGAAAATACACTTAAGGCCTCGTGTTCTCTCTTTCTCTCTTCAAGTCAACCTACCTTTCTTATCTTGCTCATTTTCTTGCGATGCTTCTTGAGTCTTTTCAGGTGCTTCAGGACCATCGTTCTCATTGCCAGCGGGTGGTGATGAGGGTGTTGCTGATCGACTCTTTTTCAAAGCCGAATTACCAAAACCAAGATCATCATCCTCTTCATCGTTCTGATAACTGGGAGTGGCTGCAGAATAATCATTGGATGGAGGTTCATAGCTGGGTACTGCTTCTTGCTCTGATGGTGATGGTTCATAAGACGATTGATGTCGTTGATCATACCATCCATTTTGATCTGCTGCTGCTGCTGCTGCTGGAGTAGCACCATATTGTTGTTGTTGCGTATCATACATGGAAGGTGAATATTGTGGCGTGGAACCGACTTGACCAAAAGGTGACATGGCAGCATTCGTAGGAGGTGCACCATATCCATAAGCACCATATCCACCATAACCAGGTTGTTGCATTGCATTCTCCTCTTGCTGTGGTACTTGTTGATCTGGTTGCTGCTGTTGTTGGATATCAGAAGGAGCAGGATACTGAGAAATGGGTGTAAAACCATGTCCAAAAGGACCAGCTCGTGCACCAGGCGATGAGGATCGACGACTATAACCTTCGGATGGCATAGTCGCAGTAGGTGTAGCAGCTCTTCGAATGCCTTCGTGGCCCACGCTTGTTCTTCCATTTCTGAAATCAAAAGCAGAGGCACTTCTTGCTGGTGGTCCATCCATAACAGCATCATAGGGTCTTGCCATGATCTCTGTGGACTTCCTTGCTGGTGGTTCTTCAGCTGGAATATCCTCTCCACTCACAAACTTGTTGAATTTGCCTTCCAATGAACCCCATAATGAATCCAACGAATTCTTGGATAACTTGTTCTTGAGCCATGATCCAGTATCACCACTAATAAATAGATCACATGAGTCAATAAACAACCCTTTTCATCCCATATCGTATATACGTACCCAAGACTGTGTCCACTAGCGACCTCGCAAACCTCATTAAACTCACGAATGCTTTCCAACAATTGCCGATGAAGGTATGGGCTACCCTTGGTATATCCTTTGACAGCACTTGCAATCGACTCACAATAGCGTTGCGCCAAGTTGAGCAATCCAAGATCCGCTAACCACCAAGCGTGCATAAGTTTGTAGCCTTGCAGGAATGGCAGAGAGACAGCGCCATTTTGTTTGGTGGAAAGAGCAAATTCAAATAACTCGGTCAAGAAATAAGCATCGATATCGTGAGAAGCATTAGGACCATCAGCACCCAATAAGGTCATTCGTACGTGAGGAGTATCCAAACCGGAATGAATGGATGACTGAGGAGATACGAGATAACTATAATCCTTTCATGTAAGTGACAACATGCCTCACATGACCCCCTTTTCCCCAACTGTACCAAATATGTGCAGCATCAAGCCATCCATGGTTACGGAGAACATCACCCAAAGCAGTGATCGCTTCAGTATCCCGAGGTGTCCGATTGGCAAGGATAAGAGCCAATGTAATTCGCCATTCATGTAATTGCTCGTCATTGCCACGTTGTTGAGCGGGCTGTGATGATGCGAAAGGTGTATTCATGAGATGACCAGGGGAGCTAGCTTGCATGAATTCAGATACTACAACATCAAAAAGTCAATATATATATATAATCGATCCATACACGCATGATCTCATACCTGATGCAACCCCCGATCCAGCAAAGAGTGAGTACAATACACGTAGCGACTGCTTATCCCCTCGTACATTGAATCGATCTTGTCGTGGCATGTTCACAGCGGATGCTGATAAATCACGTTCCACAAAGCTTGTCACCACCTTTTTCCATAATTCCTTATCCACACAGCTACTGAGAATCAACGCATGGGCCCAAAGATCTTCTTGCATGGCGTATTCCACAGCTCCAGCACGATCGCCCTTGATCAACAATGTTTCCAACTTGTTAAGCACCTTTTTGGATCGTTCAGCATTCTCAGCATCATCATCACCATGAGTGGCTTCATTGGATTGAGCGTAGGCAGGGACACTGAAATCCCCTTGGTCATCATTGTTCGCATCCAGATCAGTGGGTTGTAAAAGCGCACGAGTTGCTTCATCGAGTTTTCCACTAAGTAGGTACATGTTTTAGCTACCATCCATCCATACATACTATACATCAACTTACCCATCGTTAAAAGTACCCTCTTGTTCCAACAAGGTGCGAACCAAACGCCATAACAAGACCCGACATTCGGCTTGATTGTATTCCAATGGCTGATCGGGGGATGGTAATAATGCTGTCAAATCAGCAATGCGCTTATCCATATATGCCAATGCATCCTTCTTTTTGTTCTTGGTGCTCGATTTGCTATCCATCAAAACAGGACCCACGAAATCCGAAAGACTACGCAACATGGGATCTTGATCACCAAGAACATCCTTGAGTTGCCTAACTTGGATAGCACTTGGCATGGTCTTGGTAATGGGTGCACCCGCATCGTACCCAGTAGTAAAACGCTGCACCGTTTGTGGAAACATGACACAAAGTTTACCACCAAAGCCAAAGCTAACAAGTGGACATCCTCGAGCTCTGTTCAAAGGATCAGGTGGCAATTGTTGTTGCTGTTGTTGTGCATACATGTCGGTTGCTGCTGCTGGAATTGCTTCATTTTGGTAATACTCGGTGCTTGTTTCACCCACCATCAAAGTAGCAGGTTGCTCAGCACCATATGGTTGTTGTTCAGGATAATACATATCCGATGGTGGCTGTTGTTGTTGTTGTTGCTGTTGAAGGGTAGTAGTACCAGGTGGGCCATACATTGCTGCTGCTGAGGATGGATCATAAGAGGATGCTGATGATGATGGTGGTACATGTTCATTAAGTGGAGGAGGATGAGCAGCAGCAACTGAAGATGTAACACTGCCAGCAGCAGGTGTCGTAGCACGAGAAATGGATGTCAAGGGACGACCACATTCGCAACAAAACTTGGCCTTGGCCTTGTTTTCACCCTCACAATTAGGGTCAGGGCAAGGAAGGAATTGTTCCAGCTGGGGCGACGCCAATCGATTCAACATGCTTCCAGCAGAATACACTGTACTTGTACGTTCCATCGATACACGTCCACCTTGCTCCATGGATGAACGTTGTTGCAACATGGGTTCTCTTGAAGGATAAGCATCATCGGGTTTGGCAGTCGCTCCTTGATACAAATTAGGAACAACTTGTTCTCCTTGGATCTCTTGCAATTCAGTACTCGATTTGGGAGACATGGTCTGCTGCTGCTGTTGTTGATGCAATGGCACACCCGTATCAAATTGAGCTTCTTGTTCTTGTTGTGATGATTGAACTTCTGAAGCACCCATTTGCTCATAGGTTGCTGGCTCAGTTGTCGGATACTGGTATTGTGCTTGTTCTTGATAATAAACGCCATCCACTTGATTGTATTGTTGTTGATCATAGGTGTATTGCTCAACTGGAACAGTTGCATCTTCTTGGGTCGATGGCTGATACGCTTGTTGATCAAAGACCGCTGCATCAGGTACATGGGCTTCATGAGGTGGTGGATGACTTTGAAGATCGTATGCAGTCTCTTGTTCCATTGGGTTGAGGATAGCAGCATTTCCATTCACTGATTGTTCTATTGACAACATTCTTGATTAGAACACCATCCTACTTTGACCCTTCCCTAATTCATTTTTTACCTTGGCCCGCTTCCATTTGTGGTTGATCCTCTTTTTGAGCAAGCACATCATGTTGTGTCTGGGTATTGTGTTGATCACCTTCAATCTCAACATTTTGTGGTGGCTGCTGCTCAGCAGGTTGCTGTTGTTGCATTGGTGGTGGTGGTGCAGATACATGTCCTAATGAAGGATCACTAGAACCATAATTGAACTGTTCACCAACTTCTGGTTGTTGCTGTTGTTGCTGCTGCTGCTGTTGAGGAGGTGGTGGTAACGATGAAGACTCAGCTTCCATAGAAGGTTGACCAGGACCATAATTGAATTGTTCAGTTGCAGCTGGAGGTCCTTGTTGAACTTCAGGGACTTGTTGAGGAGGAGGAGCATAAGCAAAATCGGATGTCGTCTGCTGTTGCTGATGCAAAGATATCGATCAGATCCCATCCATACACATCCTTCATCCAATGCATTGATTTACCTGATCCTGCTGCTGTTGTTGTTGAGGAGGAGGAGGAGCATAAGCAAAATCCGATGTCGGCTGCTGCTGCTAAGATATCGATCAGATCCCATCCATACACATCCTTCATCCAACACATTGATTTACCTGATCCTGATCCTGCTGCTGTTGTTGAGGAGGAGGATAAGCATAATCGGACGTAGCCTGCTGTTGCTGATGCTAGGATATTGATCAGATCCCATCCATACACATCCTTCATCCAACCCATTGATTTACCTGATCCTGCTGCTGTTGTTGTTGTTGAGGAGGAGGAGCATAAGCATAATCAGATGTCGGCTGTTGTTGTTGATACTTGGATACGAATCAGCCTTTGATAGATTCACATCATCCCAATATCGACTTTACCTGATCCTGTTGTTGTTGATGTTGTTGCTGTGGAGGAGCATAAGCGTACTCAGATGTTGGCTGATTTTGATGCTTGGATATTGATCAATCTCCCATATACTTTCATCCAATGCCAATCACCGATTTTACCTGTTCCTGTTGCTGAGATTGATAAACAGCTTGCATATCTTGACCATTTTGCATGACACCAGGCTGCTGTTGTTGATCAGTCACTTGGTATTGTTGCTGGTCATAAACCTGCTGAGGATCATAAGCATATTGTGCCATGGCGTCATTGCTTGGTTGTTGTTGATACGCTGCCGATTGAGGGTCATACATGTATTGTTGCTCACTTTGTTGATCAACGTATTGATAATTCTGTGCGTATTGTTGAGGATCATAGCCGGAGTATCCCGTAGCAGCGTCATTGGGTTGTTGTTGATAGTTAGGTATCTGCTGGTAGGTGCTGGTCGTGCTATAAGCATCCTGCTGATACTGATAATTGGCATAAGCATCGTAAGCGTATCCTTGTTGTTGTTGTTGTTGTTGTTGATATTGGTTGTTATCCTGGGCATATCCGGCATATTGATCTTGAGGAGCATACTGCTGTTGTTGACTATACTGGTGCTCTTGTCCATATTGGTGAGGAGGGGCATATTGAGTATATTGTTGATCCTGAGCAGTATATTGATTATAGTGTTGATCTTGTTGTTGAGGAGTATACGACGCGTATTGTTGATCGGTTGCATTGTACTGATATGCTGCTCCTCCATTACCACCATTATCATACTGACCATTAAAAAAGGGGTCGCTTGTGGGCTGAGCTTGGGCAAAGAGCGAATCGGCAGCGGCAGCAGCAGCAGCTGGAGTGGGTTGTTGCGGCTGTGAAAATAACGTGTCGGCTCCTGACACGTTATTATTGCCACCACCACCACCACCAAATAATGCATCCATATTGGAATCATCGCCACCAAATAGAGTGCTTGCATCCCCTGCGATAGGCTTGTTGGTGTCGTCTACGTGTTGTTGTGCCTCTCCGGTGGTAGTAGTAGCAGTAGTAGTAGCAGGAGCAGCAGGAGCTTGAGCTTGCTTTGTATCGGTATTGGCATTGGCCGATTGTTGTGTTGTGGTTGCTGCATCGGGTTCAGAGGAATGTTCTCTTGCAGTCTGTGTAGTGTTGGAAGACAATGCTTGAAAGGGATCGCTCTGGTCGGCATTGTTGGCGAACAAATGAGCCCCATCGTTTACGGGCTTGGAGTCATCCTTGGTTGCCATAACTGAACGGGCACCCTAATGGATAAGTGCAGACTAGTATTCAACGTGCATTAGCCATTGTAGACAACCATGTCGAATAAAAGATTGGGCTGATGGCCGAGACTTACGCTATGTTGGGAAAGAAGAAGCGCCTGGTAGTGAAGAGCGGGCGGGAAACGTCTTAAAGTGAATCCGATTACCGACCGCCACCTACAATATGCGTCCACAAGCCAATCAAATCGCCTGAATGAGAACAGAGCCAATGACATTCTGCCCATCCACACGCTGCTCCCCTTCACAGTAAAGAATATCATGTGATATAGATAAATGCAATCTATCATATCTCCACGACCATCTCACACCACCAAGCACAATCATCATCACTGATATAAAGAGAAAGCAACATCTTTGGGCAAGAAACAAATTATCTTTCTACATTCACTGTTGGATTCTACAGAGAGGTTTCGAGTCTTTAAATAAGCTCGGACAGTAATAGAAAAAGATGATGAAGGACATAGAAAAAAGCATGCTGTTTTGGAAGAACTTAAATAAAAGGTGCTTTCGTATGATGAAAAAGTAGTGGGGTGAAATACTTGAGCATGGAAAAAAAGGAATAAGAGTTGAATAAGAGTAGAAAATGTGTGTACGTGAGTGCGTGTGTTGATTGAAGTGTGCTTGTTTGTAGAATTATGTGTGTGTGTGTGCGTGTGCGTGTGCGAATGTGTGATACGAAGAATGGATGAATGACGTACGTGAGAGATGCCTTATACGGTGCAAAAATTACTGCTAGGGAAATGATATGGATCAAGGGATAATGATGGTGATGTCGTAGAAGATGATTGCGTAGTAGTAGGAGCTGATTTCTTTTCCTTTTTAATGCTTGCATGATTATGTCGGTGGATGCGTATATGTTGATTCAAGTTATCGGATCGTGAAAACCTCTTGTGGCAGTTTTGATATGGACATTCAAATGCTATCAACGTAACGTAAGTATCATCTTTTTGTGTTTGCTGATATCCGCTTACGTTTTTCTAGTGTGTGAATGGAACGAGTATGGCGTTTCAAGTGCTCAGAGCGCTTGAAGACTTTACCACAGCCTTCTGTTTGACATACAAACATGCGTTCACCTTGAGTAGGTACACTGGATACGCGTCGCCCACGTGAACGTGGTTGTGTTGTTGTTGCTGTTGCTGGTGGAGAAATACTCTTTTTGCCATTGTTGTTATTAGTGGGAGCAGCGATCGCATAATTGTTTGAGGTATGTTGTTGCTGCTGGGATGTATGTTCCACATGTTTAAAGGGTAGTGTCAATGGCATCAAAGGAGGGGGAGCTGAGGATGAGGAATAAAGTGACTCTTGTTGCTGCTGCTGCTGCTGATGCATTGCAGCTGTTGTTGTATCTTCTGCACCGTATTCATCCAAAACGTATGGGCCAAACGATTCATGCGACATGTATGTGTTTCCATATGGACCAACAAACGACGTATTACATTCCTGTGGTTGTGTTGATTGTTGTTGTTGCTGCTGCTGTTGTTGAAAGTATAATGGATGCATGATTGGAGTAATAGGAGAAAAGGGTGCCTCGAGAATGTTACTACCAGAGGCGGATGATGGAATGGCTGCGCAAGTGGTCATGGTTGCTGCAATAGGTGCAATAGAACAAGTTTCGGCCATTGTGGTAGTATGTTGGGTAGCACTTGCAACACCAGTGGTGGTAGTAGTAGTAGAGCCATCACCACCATCGTAGCTGAGAAGTGATGAAAAGTCATTGTCGTAAGACGACGAGGTGAAATTTGCTTGAGAGCACAGCAAATCCGTATAGCTTAGCACGCCTTGCTGTTGTTGTTGTTGTTGCTGCTGCAGTACATGGCCAGGATGAATATTGACGGTAGTCATGTCAAACAAGAAAATTTAGTAAAATGAAGTTTGCAAGTGAAGCAAAAAAAAAGTGAGAGACGATGCTCCGTGTGTAAAAAGAAGGATCGAAAAACAAAAGCGAATACGACTATGCGTTGAAATAAAGGTTTGTTGATCGGGGAAGGTGTACCGGAGCAGCATCCCTCTCTCTCTACAACCTCTCTCATTATTATCATCAACGAACAAGCACGAGTAGGAGTAGTGAACATGTGGAGGACCATCAGGAGAAAGCGTATGTTGATCGATGACCAGAAGCACAATCCAAAGTAATAATCGATGGAGTAGTAATTGTTGACGTGACAGGCAGGTGCCAAGTGTGCTGCTGCCCTGAAGCACACTCACACCTATACACACACGCACGCATAATCAAAATCAGCAGCACAAGCCCATTTACCTTTTTGTTGGTGGGGTGAGATCTTCTCCACAACCAATGATTAAAGTAACGACCTGATGGTATCAGCACGTCAGGGGTAAAATGTATACGTACGTGTGCCCTTGGTACGTACGTACATAAGGGTTCTCCCAAAAAAGGTCACCACGATGCGTTGCTTATTCCACTTGGAACGTGATCAAGACACTGATCAGGTGTTTGACTTGCTTTCATGAAGGAGGAGGAGAGATTCACAAACACGTATCCATATACACACACATCATCCTACAAGCTAGATGTTTCTATCGAAGCTATGGAAACCTCCTTCTTTGCAAAAATCTCTAGGGCGCTATGACACCTAACACCAACTGCAATATTAAGAAAAGGGGAGGGCGTCTGTGCAAACAAAAAGTTATGGAATGACATGAATACATACATACGTAATATTGAAACATGCATGTGCAGTAACAAGTATGTAGGATGCTGCTGTACATTGTTGTTGCCATGCAGCCTGGTTGCCGGGGCGACCATTTTAAAAAAGAGAAGGTTTTATCCAAAAAGCTGGTATGTTTAAAGGGGGTGGTGGTGTGGATGGTCCATGAAGAAAGAATAGCGACAAGCATGAACAAGTGCATGAATTGAACGAGTGATGAGCATGTTTCATGCAATAGCAATTGTATTGGAGGTTTTGCGCAACACAACACACAATGCGTGCTGCATTGACAACGACCTGTCCCACTGTATCGGTTTAGGGTTCTACCATGTTCTTCATATACATACTCCACACACACACATGTTACTTTATACATTCACACACACGCACATACACACACACACGTTTAACACTTGTACTTTTCGCGCGAAATGCATATATCAAAAAAGATTTGTGTGTGGATTATGGTCCCGCCTGCTTTCTTTTCTTTTACCTGTACCAAATAGCTGGGCTCGTATATACGCTTTAAAGAGCTTCAAACACTGGGACTTTTATTACTCAATCAGTGTCCTCATTGGTAAGCATCTCTTCCATGGTGATTTCCAGTTGGACTGATCTTGTACTTTGGCACAGCCTATCTACTTGATACCGGCATCTGCACTCCTTTTCCTTTTTATTGTGTGTGTGTGTGTGTGGGCATTTTGCCCTGTGCGAAAACGATCTCAGTGTATCTCGGTTTATGCACGCTAGCCAACTTGGATACGACTACTTGGACTAGCCCTACCCTATGCAACCTATTATTTCCACGAGCTCAGCTGTATTGGATGGTCAAGGCAACGACAACGACGACACACAAGGACATCGTCAGGTGGGTGCTTTTTTAGCCAAATGTGACCTTCAGCAATATTATTCGACGTTTATTGATGAAGGATTTGATCAACTGGAAGCGGTAAGAGCACATCTTCTATATCCTCTATGGGAGCATACGGCTGACACAAGATGTCTTTTTTAGTTATTCGAGGTGACGGAACTGGACCTTGAGCAGATGGGTGTAAAGCGCGGTCATCGACGTGTATGTTGGGATTGTTGACGAGTATATTGTATCCAGATTCCTTGGCTTATATGCAGTCTCTCTTTCATGTCCATGTATTTCTCGATTTCTCGTTCTCTCCTTGTATCGTCTCTATAGCTACTTCAACGTGCCATCAGCAATGCTCGAAACGCTCCTCTCATATCTTCCTTTGCTATCAATACAGTTATTCCCGATAAATCCCATGGTACATACGTTTTTCTCTTCTTTGCTTATCTCATCATCATGTTTTATGTATTCATCCTCCTTTATAGATATACCTGACGACGATGATCACCATGACGACGACCATCACCATCCACGACCCTCTCAACAACAACCTGTGATTATGAGCCATCACGCATCCATTAGTTCAGTCTCTGGTGCACAAAGTAGTAGCATGTCGTCTGCCGAAGATGATACGATTACAAGTGAAAACGTTACTCGATGTTGGAAAAGAAAATACGAGCGACATCCTACTCCAGACAAGAATGCGCCTATCAAGCCACCTTCTGCTTATGTCATGTTTTGCAACTATCTTCGAGCCGAGCTCAAGAATGAAAACTTGTCATTTCCTGCATTTGCAAAGATCGCCGGCGTGCGCTGGAAATCTCTTGATACCCCTGAGAAACAAGTGTATGAAAGACAAGCACAGCAGGCAAAGGATGAATACAAAGCGGCCTTGGCACAATACAAAAACACACAAGAATACAGGGTAAGTGTTCTCCTTGCGCGTCTTTGTCTCTTTGTCTCCTTCGTATTGATGATTGTGTTCTACTCTTTGCTAGCAATATGAGCAGTACCTGAATGATTTTAGGGAGAAACATGAAACAGCGGGTAAGGATGACAACAAAGAAAATGATGATGATGATGCAATCTCAACAACCATGAATAGCACGTTCTGTAGGTAAACCACATAAACGATCCAGACGAAAACGACGTAGATCAGATTCTCCATCATCCACAGTAGCTCCACCAGCACCAGCACCACCCCCCACACCACCTGCTCGAACGGGGTATCCCTATTGGCTTCTCAATGATCCTTATCCTACTTGCAATGTGCCGTCATCATCCTCATCATCCTTCAATGATAGTACAAAGTGAACATATGTAGTCTCCTTTTTTCTTCTCTTTTCTCTGTGTATATTCTTTTGTTATCACCCTTCGTTTGAAAACAAGTCTTATGTAATTTATACAATGGCAGCAGCACTATGAATTCTTTTATATGCGTGTACTATGTAGTATGAAAAAGGTTACAATGAAGATAAAAAATCATCTAACCCAAATCCAGACGATGATTTGGTTTCATTCTGTTTACGGCTAGCGATCAATGCTTGAAGATTGTTCTTTTTGTTCTTTTTCTTCTTTCCCGTTGCTGGGGGTGAGGGTGCTGCAGGTTGCTTTTGTTGTTGTTGTTGCTGTGGTTTCTTGTTACTCGTCGTCGTGGTCGTCGTTGCTGCTGCTGCTGCTGCTGCTGGGGATGCATGAACAATGGATGCTGCTTGCTTTGTATCATCCGATAACAATGATGCTTTTGGTATATCTCGCGCTGAACCTTGCAGCCATTTTTCATGTTGACATGCATTACATTTATAGACAAGCTGGTTACGGTGTCGATTGCTCTTTTGGATACCATGTCGATATCGTTTGGTTGTTTTCAACACTACGCTTGCGTTCAATCCCGATACAAAGATCTGACCACATCGAGCACACATTTGACGTGCAATGGCTTTGGCTGCTTTGGTCTCTTGTTGACGTAGACTTTGCTGGAATTCACTCATGTAGAAGCGTGATAGCTGGGGACATGTTGCAAAGAGTAAATGGCTGGCATGGTATAAGAATTCAGCACGATCGGCGGATTGCTTTGTTGGAATAGACTTTGTCATAGAAACAATAGAAAAGAAAGAGGATAGCGACGAAATTGCTGGTTGATAAAAAGAGAAAATGATTCATGTGATTGATTGATTGATTGATTGATTGATTGAGAGACACTATTCTTTCTTCTGCCCAACAAGAATATTACTACAGCTAGTGTGCATAAATGTTGTTGTTGTTGTTGATTGTGTGTGAGTGTGTGCATGTGGGGGGGATGGTAGTAGTGGTATTGTGTGGATGTTATATACAGCGACTGGTTTTCTCTTTTTGTAATGTGAAGAAGAGGAGAAGGGGGAGAGGTGAATGTGCGTGTGTGGAATGGATCAAGAAACATGCGATGTTATTGGTGCAGCTATTGGTTCATAATAATAATAGCCTGTTGCAGCATTGGTAGTAGTGGTAGTAGAGGTAGTATTACTATTAGAAGCAACAACGGCAGTAGCAGCAGTGGTTTGGTCGCGTGGTGGGGTTAGCAGTGGTGGCGATTTTGATGAGGAAGAAAATGGAGAAGGCAAAAGACGATAGCCAATGGATGAAGGATCTTCCAAACCTGAAGAGACAGGTTCTTCTGTTGGAGCAGGATCAATCCAAGCATCCGGCTGCATCACTCGCGATAAGCGATATTTGACTCCAAGGTAAGAGATATAGTTTGACTTTGGAAAGGCCCTTACACGCTTCACCCCTGGAAAGTGGGAATCCTCAATATCCACAAACGTTCCTCCAAGGTTCAGTGTTTGCTCCAGCTTGGTTTGATTGGTAGCATCAAATGGTACCCATTTGACTTGCATAAATACAAGCCATGTAAAATAGCCTGTTCGCTGCTGCTGTCGATTTACTTGATGGGGTGGTGTATAGTCACTCGAGTGCTGCAGTGCATGTTCAAAGGTGTAAGGATGATTACGGATATTGCTGACCGTCATTATGTTATGCGTCTTTGTGTGTGAAAGTGAGGGAAAAACGAAAGAAAAAACAAGCTGCAGTTGCTTGGGGAGACATGAGAGAGAACAAAAAGCACAAAGTGTTATATACAAAAATGCTTGCCGAGGTTGCACAGTGGGTTACCTGGTTGCTCTGTGTGTGTACGCTTTGCTTCATCCTGGACGTGCGCATGATCCAATCACATTATTCCCATCGTGAGAAATCATTGGTCTTTGGTCGAATCTTATCAATGGCCCTATACCTACTATTTCATTCACTGTGCACCCTCATCATTATCAACATCATCATCATGAACCCCGTTGATTATTCCACAAGTTGCCAATGCCTGAAACGCGTTACTTTTTTGTACTCTCCCATTCTTTTCATATCGCATGTAATGCGTTCTATACATCATTGCTGCTTTAAATGACAACAAGAAAACATGGTTGTGCATGTGCATTTGTAATATATATACACACTCACACACAGCTAGAATCTTCGGCGATCATTCATGATCAGTTGTACTAGAAGCACCACTCATATAACGTGCTCAACTGATCACTCGAAATCCAAGGGGAATACCTTTTAAGGGAGGAACCGCCCTTTTCTTTTGCAATGTCGTCCTGAGTAACGCAAAAGGGGTGACCCACTGACAATGCTCGCATGATTGGCGGAAGCCAAGCTCCACAGGTAACATTGATGCTTCGTCTTACGCTCTCACTTTTTCCACTTTACGCTTGTTGGCACGTGCACAGCGGATAGATGCGGGTCTATTATGTGTGCAACAATCAAGAATGCTCTAGGTTATCCATACACACACACACACACACACACACAGCCATTTTGTTGAATGCATGACCTATCTATTTCATCCCCGCAATCATGGCATTATTATCATTGTTCATCGCGGAGACCACCATCCGAGAGATAACTCACTTCATCGGCTGTGCCTATCGGGAACCCGGGGTCTCTTTTCCTCTCTCTTATTCTACTTGTATCATATGAAAACGAAAGGTAGAATGAATCTAGATAATAAGGAATTTCTTTTTCTTGCCATGTACGCTATTCTTCTCTTTATCGTCGGTGATCATGTTGAGTTGTACACCATAGGGTTGAATGATACGATGTTGATATACACACAAAAAGAGTATGTAAATAGAGCCCGTGCGAGAATGTGCATTATGTACATACCGCTGATCTTAGTTTATGGCATCTAAACCTTCTCAATCGGAGGGAAAAGAAAAAAAAAAGATGGCAGTGCTGCTGCTGCTGCTGCTCCTCCTGCTGCTGCTGCCATAGACACAACCACGTGCATACACGCATTACACACACGCACACTTTATCCACGTAGGCCCCCCCTTTTCCCACCAATAAATGTTGCTCAATCCGCAAAGAGAGAGAAAGAGGGAATGAGGGTTTCATGCGAAGAATGGTCCATGGCAATTGCCCGTGTTGGCACCCATCCAGGCATGTGACGAAGGGTAGAGATACGTTGTACAGGGTCGACTGGCTTTTTCGGGTATCCCGATCGACGATGAATAGGTCACGGGAATCTGCATATACACCCGATTTGTTGGACAAATAAATGTTGTTGGAGGCACATTATCAGATGTCGCGGGTTAGGTTGATTCTCGAATAAAATAAATGTTGTTCTGGCATGAGTGTTTATGTGTGTATTTTCACAAGGCTGACTCATCATCCAAGATCTCAGAGCTGTACAGGTAACTTTTTATCGATAATCAACAACAACACTATAGACAAAGGGCTATCCATTGTTTCATTGCTGCTCGTGACCATAGATAGTGCGTGCCTAAAAAAGCCGTGTTACCCCCAATAAGCCAATATGAATCATCCACAATGGAGCTTACCATTTGCCACACGTGAAGTGTATTGTCCTCATCCGCACTTGCCAAAGACCATGGTTCAGCAGGATTCCACCCGAAATCAGCAATGCCGCCAATATGGCCCGCATGAATAAACTACACCCCAAAAAAAGATGATTAGGATGTTTTGATTGGCATCAACGCACTAACTATCACTCACCAATAATTCAGGAGGGCCATCGCCAGATATAGGTTTATCGTCACCGATCCGTGCCACGTCCCACACCAATACTTGTCGGTCACTACCGGCTGTTGCTAGAATTGTCTCGTGATGTGGTGACCATGCAAGGTGATAGACTTCTTCCTTGTGATGTTGCATGACGTGAATTTTTGCCTTGAGGTTTCTCAAATCCCACAGTGCCACGGTCTATTGCAAAATAGGGTTATTCTTCTTCTGTGGCCATCATCTAGAATCCTCGTCGTCATTACTTGCCTTATCGGAAGATCCAGTGGCCAATATCCATTCACTGCCAGGAGAAAACGAAACGCAATTGACTTCGGCTGCATGAGCGCGTACATTGTGAATAGCTTTGCCACCCGCTTCATCTCGTGTATCCCATCTTGTGTATGATCCGTATCAGTCATCTTTTTCTCCTTTATATATATAGAGCCGATGCCACTTACATCATCATTTGCCGATCATCGCCTGCTGATGCAAATATAGAATCATGTCGCCAATTCCATGCAATATCCTAAACGTAACGTCAGCTGATAAAAAAAAGTGATTGAATGGAAAGACTTGCCTCCACACCCGCCGTGTGTCCACAATAGGTCCGTGATGGTTGTAATGTACGTTTTTCTTTGGATGCAGCTGCAATGTCCCTGGTATATACACTCTTATGAATGGCCTACCCTCATCCAATCCATCACAACACGCTTACCATTCACATATTAAGCCATCGAAACCACCACTCAGGACATGACTTGAACGTGTACTATGTGGATTCCATTCCAATGCATACCTATCTTCCATCATCATGATCAATACGCATGATCTCTCCCTCTCTCTCTCTCTTGTTGATCCAATGTCAATACTCACCCTTCCTTTGTATGACCTTGTAATCGTAATGCAGGATTGAATGGCTCATGTTCCTTGGGAAATGACTCATAGGTTGTACGATCGAAGACATAGACGTTGCCTGATTTTGACTTTGTGGCGATGATATTGGGATTGTCGTATTGATATCGTGCTCGATTCACTTCGCCTTCATGCACAATCTTTTGTATAATTCGAACATGGGCATCGTTGTATCCACCATAGCCACCAATCTCTAAAAGATGATCTTTTATTAGCATCCTCTCGCTTTGAGATATGGAGATTCATGCTTACCATTGGTATGTTCTTCGTATTTACGTGTATCCACCTTGTCAAGATCGATGGGCAGTTGTACAGTGGCTATTTGGAGATAATTGGGCTCGTTGTCGTTTGTATGCGTGCCCAGTAAAAGACGTTGTGCTTTGTAGTTCTGATCGGGTCGTCTATTGACAACAATTACTTAATGGCCACGTGTATTGGGATCGCGTCGCGTTTGGGTCGTGTGGTACCTTTCGACATCGGGAAACCATTGGCAGGTTAAACTGGGCCATGTGAGACCATGAGTGATAAGCAAGTCGTATAAGAAAGGAGTATTCTTCTTCCAGGTGCGATAGTTTGTGTCTTGGAATGGAGAAGGGGAGGAGGTGTCTTGGTCGATTTCCATAATGTGTCAATTGAGAGAAGAAAGGGGAGGTGTTGGCGGGATGGGAAGAGTCACGTCGGGTTGAAACTGAGTTAGGTGGGTGGTGTGGGTGGGTTGTTTGATGGGATTTGTTTATACGACAGGTTCTTTTTTCTCTTGCACCCTAAAAATGTTCAGCAACTTGTATAAACGCAATGTGTGGCATGCCGTCAATTCGATAACGTCCATGGTATCGGTCTCAACACCCGCTCGTGCAGTCGCAGCTCCAATGACCACCGTGCGTTATGCTTCCAACTTTTCACCTCGACGCACAAAGTATCGCAAGTCGCAAAAGGGCAAGATCCCTCTTCCCACTGGTGGATCCACCAAAGGCACCACCGTTGAATTCGGCGATTACGGCCTGCGTATTAAGGAAGGTGCACGATTGACCGGACGACAATTGACTTCGGTATTCACCACTCTTCGACGTAAGCTCAAGACTGTCAAAGGATCTCAGATGTGGATGCGTGTATTCCCTGATATCCCCGTGACCACCAAGGGCAATGAAGTTCGTATGGGCAAGGGTAAAGGCAGCTTTGAATATTGGGCTTGTCGTGTTCCTCTCAACCGCATCATTTTCGAGGTCTCTGGTATGCGCAAAGAAATTGCAAAGGAAGCCTTCCGCCTTGCTAGTTACAAGTTGCCTGTCAAGACTGAAATGGTCGAACGAGGTGCTAAACCCATCGTTGGTGCTGGTTACATTGCTCCCACATCAAAGAAACAACCATCCAAGTCAGAGGCCGCCACCACCACCACCAAAACTGATGCTTAATCCACCATTCAACATTTCTACATGCATGTGATTCGACACACTCACACACTTTTATATATATACACACTACGCACACGCACCCATCCCTCATTGTCCTCCATCTTATATATCAACATTGACACTCAACTCACTCAAACACGCAACCATCTTCCTTTTGTCTATCAATCAATCTGTATTAACACAGTCTATTGGGGTAAATGTATTAAAAGACAAATTCTAAAACAGTGTATCTATCTATCTATGTGGAAAATTTGGAAACAAAGGCGAGAATATCATTGCGACTAGCAGCATTTGTTGGAACAAGATGTCTACAAAGGCATCATGATGAATAAAAAGTGTTGTGTTGTGTATGTGTATCCATGCTGTTGTTACTTACCCTCCTGGATGCTTGAAAATGACGGGATCTTCAAAGACATCAGCCAATGCCAACATTCTTTCGGGTACAATCAATGTATCAGCTTCGCCTACGAGATGCATGCTTGGTGTCTTGATTTTGCCCTTGAAAAGGCTCTGTGTAGCATCTTGAGATTCAGGCTTGAAACCAGCAGCCACAATAGCAAACCGAAAAGCCGGATGTTCAAATTCAGGGGAAACAAGATGAGGCATCAATGAACGATTCTCCAAAAGTTCGGCCATGACAGCAGCAAGACATGCACCTTGAAAAAAAAGACCCTATTTAGTGTAACCTTCATTTCTACCCAATCCTCCATTTGCTTTACCTTGTGAGAAACCAAAGATACCATCAAAGGGACCCTGCATAATGATCGATTTGTTGTCAGTCGTCATCTTTTTCTTCATCATCATTAAGAAAACAATTGTACCTCTTTCACCAGGACATCCTTGAGATACTCTACAGATTCCTTGAACCCTGAATAATATCCCTCCTCGGTATTAGGATAGGACGAAATGGGGAACCACCAGCCATAAGGTTTCAATTCTATATATGCATCATCAGTATACAAAGACCATTGCCCATCATCCAAGAGTATTATTACCTTCACTAGCATTAGGGTCGGCTGCTGCTTCTCGAGCTGCTTCAGACGTATACTTTGGGTCAGTAATAAGATGAGGCCCTGTGACATAGACTGTAGTAAACAGTAAGCAATGCTGACATTGGGTCGATTCGCTTTCCCCCCTCCTCAATGGGCCTGTAGACTCACCGAGATCGGCAATCTTGTCGAGCTTTTTGCGTAATACAGCTGTCTTTTTCCTGAAAATGGTGCCGTTTTGTACCATGCCATGGAGACAAAGAATGCGTAACTTGCTGGGAGTGCTCATTGTAGTAGCGGGAGAACAAAGGTGCCTGCAACACAGCGTTGACAGCGGAGAAGAATCTCATCATTCATCATTCATCATTGACTTAGTTCACGTGACCTGAGCCGAAAAGCCTTGCGCACGTCGTGTACGCCTTGACACGCATCAAGGATCCCACCCATAACCAGGTTACAGCATACATTTATAATCGAGTCCAGCAACCCAAATAATAAATTCTCGCATTACTTGTTCTTTATTGATGTATTTCTTTTGGGTGACATAGCAGGAGGAGACAAAGAACGACTCATTTTAGCCTTATCAATGATTGGTTTATGTATTCAAAGACTACTACAATGAATGGCAAGATGACAAAAGAATCAACGACAGCCATGGATACGACCTTGTTCAAGCTATGCGAAGGCGTTTATGTGAGAGTGTGTGTGGGTGTGTGTTTCAGGCTACACCTCCGAGCGCCGTCGTCATAGGATCCGAGGTCCGAAAAGGCGTTGGTAGCTGAAACGAACCTCCTGCAGCGTCTTGTTTCGCGATATTCCACTTTTTCTCTTTTGTCCTCTTTGATACCTGGTACGTTGTTCACCCTCATCGCTCGAAATGCACCCTCTTATTGACTAATGGAACCACTCTAGTTTGACACAATGACTACTGTACGACCCTTGAACGAAGATGAGGTCTTTAATGAGATGAAGAAAATGGTACGAGTTCACACCCTCCTTTTGATACCGGCCAAGCAGTAATGAGCTAAACTGACGGCTGTGCTTTTTCTTTTAGGTGGCCTTCATCAAGCAAGAGGCCCTTGAAAAGGCTAGAGAAATCAAGGTCAAGGTAGGTAACATGCTATGGGTTGATAGGGGGTGTGTGGTTGATTAGGAGGGGAACTATTTTGGCGTATGGGGGTGAATATCTAACGGTCATTTTCCTTTATGACGAATAGGCCGATGAAGAATTCAACATTGAAAAGGTATGTATATACTCTTACATCACTGACGGTTGATATCTTATTGTATCCAAATAGGCCAAGATCGTGCGTCAAGAATCTCTCAACATTGAAGCTGTGTTTGAGCGTAAGATGAAGCAAGCCGAAGTGCAAAAGAAAATGTACGTGTGTGTGCACGTTTGTGCGTGCGTGTGTGTGTACCTGCATGCCAAAAAAAGTGGGAATACTCATCTATGTACGTAGTGCTCAATCCAACCATATCAACAAGGCTCGTTTGCGAGTGCTTCAAGAACGTCAACAATCTTTGGATACCCTTTTCGAAGCAACCAGAGAAAAGATCTTTGAGGTGTCCAGCGATGAAGAGAAATACGCAACCTTGTTGGAAGGTCTCATCTTGCAGGGCGCATACTCCCTTATGGAACGAGAGGTGTCTTTGCGTTGCCGAGAGGCCGATGTCGAAGCTGTCCAATTTGCTGCTGAACGTGCTTCTCAAAAGTATCAAGAAGTGATGAAGGCTGAGACTAGCTTCACCATCAGCGAAGATTATTTGCCTGCATCCAGGTAAGTAAGGAGCTATGCTGAAACATTTAAAGTAGACCGGATGCAATTGACGCGTAACCCACCCCCTTTTTTTTACTACATGTAGTGCTGGTGGTATCGTTCTTACTGCATTGCAAGGCAGAATCGTTGTAGACAACACTCTTGAGGCTCGTTTAAACATTGTCAAGGAAGAGGTATGTATCCAAGAGTGACACTCCCTCCCTCCCCCCACCTTTGGATGATCCTCATATCAACACGCGATATTTTTTCTTCTATAGATGTTGCCTCAAATCCGTGTTACCCTCTTTGGCCATTCCCCCAACAGAAAGTTCTTCAACTAGGTTCCATTAAAGAATATGGCAAACAGCGTTGTTGGCTATTTCATTATTGTTGTGATATAAAAACACTTTGCGTTTGTATACAAAATGAGTGATTGTTGTTGTTGTTGTCTATTTCTCTCCTTTAGCCATCCTATAATAAGAAGAAAGAGAGTCGTTAGTCATGTTGAATAAGGTCCAGAACGGTTGTTCCATACTTGACAGTGCCCCAAAGAGCACCTACAACACCAACACCAATGACACCAAAGACCACTGTGGAGACGAATCTGTCACGGGGTCCTTTTAACCAGAGGGGAACTTGAGAAGGAGCTTGATAATGGCGTTGATTTTGAATGACGCGGTTGGGACGGTTGATCATGATCAAAAGAACAGAAAAGAAAGAGGTGGGAAATTTCTCATGGCCAAGGGAAACTCTCTTTTTACATGCAAAAAGGTAACGTGATAGATTAAGAGGGCGCAGTGACCTGCATCACACAAGAAACTATTATGCACAACCAAAAAAATCTCAGCTCATCCAAAAAACCCCCCTGCTTCCCCCGCACGCACACACCAGCTTCATGCTAGTTTTGCCTATTGTCATGTAAAACTTGACACTTTCGCTTTAGGAATGGGTGCTCACGATGCTTTTCAATGTGAAAGATTACGTGTGTGGTACATTGCCATGTATAAAAGGATGGCTGTGGATACCATTCTTTAAAGACAATACCAATTCATATGCAAGCATTGTATTCAGCCTGTGAGACGATAGAAGCATTTGTTATGAGAGGGTAGTATCAGCTTATTGTCTACAGCTTCGTTCTTTTTGTATCATTCAACTTTTACAGTAAATGCATAACATGTACCTAATTCAAAATGTGCATTGGATACTTTGATGCCATAAATTGATTGCTCGATGGAGGTATTCACTGCTGGAGAAACCAACTTTAAGGTCGACCCTTTTTATTTTACCCACAACTGTGCTCACGTTTACAGTAATGCAATCGATCATGGACGCTTTTGATTCATCGTAAGCTCAATAGGGTATGTAATTGAGTAGCAAAAGCTGGCCACTGTATGTAACTCATCCTGCTGACAAGCATACCATGCCTATGTGATCGATATTGCAGAAGCAAAGGATGATCATTGGTGACATGAAAAAGGCGGAAGAATAAGAATTGCTACTGATGTTAGCAATAGATGGTTTCTTAATGGACTATGGTGCGCTATGCAATCGAATGCGGTGTTTGCTCAAGACACAATGAATCAAGCAACCCCTCCCGCTTCCTCTCTTTTTCCTTTATCACAGCATTCACAAGTGGATGTACTTCTACACTTTATCTTTCTATAGTACCATGCATCCCATGTATACGCACAACGAGCTCCAACCCACAAAGGAAGGAACGTCTCTTACACTGAGGAAACTTATTAATGGTTGACCAATGCAATCCCGTATTCGCTAAAGTAGCCTTTTAATCCAACATCATTCACAAGAAATATAGTAGATCCTCATTAAAGCCACGGACCTATAATTTCACCCTCACCAATGTCACCCCATTTGGAGGGAATACTTAATTTTCATAGCGTCAATTGTCACATCACTGTTAACGGCAATTTCACCGCTTTTTACAACATTATAGAGGATACATTGATTGCGTCTAAATGGCTTGATAATACTTTATTCTAATCGCTTTCGAAGAAATCTCTCAATGATGATTGTCTTGTAAACATCGAACTATGTCTTGTCGAAAGAGACGAAGGATGCGTGCAAGGGAGGAGCTGTAGTCACCAGACTCATCTAAATATCCCATTAGCGAATTTGTTCTCCATGGCAGGAAGGGCTCACATGTGTCAATGGGGCTTCTTCTTCTTCGATTTGATGTTCTATGTCCTCCTCGTGATGCTTGTTGAATGCTTGAATGACATCTTCTTCATTGATTGGATCCGTTGACTGGGTTTCTAGCTGGACGTCTCCATCAAAGTTGACGCGAAGAGTCGGTAATAAGCTCCAAGTTTGTTGTCATGGATTCTTGTAACGTAGTCTCCTCGGAAACGACTTCTTCGTTACTTTGCTCATTGTATGAAATAAAAGCCTTGATTTCCTCCAACAACCTTGTATTGGTCTCCTTGCTAATGTTTGATATCGCACACTTAATCCAATTCATTACAGTGAGTTGGTCGATCCCGAAAATATTCGTATTGGTGGTGACATTGCGAGCGCGAAGGGTGATGTGCATATATGCACGCTCATACTGTATGTATATTTCTACCAAGACAACATGGATATCCGTATGTAAATTGGGCACGACATTGGAAAGTACAATGCATAACTCGATGTGATGGGAAATTTCAATCCTTTGGGCGTGCATTGTGCAAATATGAATAGATGGCGCTTGATGCATGGTGGCGAATTATATGCATCATGGTGGGTCAAAACGTGGAGTTGCATGTACATGGTTGACAGGTTGTGCAAAGGATGATGAAGTAGCTGCCATGGAAACACCGTATACAGTACGAATGCTTGATGGTCACGTTGACAATGGATACCCTCTTTTTCCAAGCATTGTATATATCCGATTCCTTCGATCCCTTGTACCAAACCAGCATTCATATCCATATCCATATCCATATCCATATCCATATCCATAAGAGGTCGTATGTATTGAAGCAAGTTGCTACACGTAAATAAAGCTGTTCTATGCAATGGCTAGCTGCTGTTCGCTTGAAAAGGCTGTAAGACACGTTGCTGCAAGTAAAGAACGCTGCTCGAGACAATGACGAAGAGCCTAGCTAATGGCAGCTGCTTGAATGGACGTCGTTATGATTGGTCGTGGTAGAGGAATGTACAAGAGAAGGTGCAGTGTCAAGAAACGCGGGTGTTGTAGTGGGCTGTGTACACGCCATGCACTTGCCATTCAGTCAAAGGCAATCGGATCAAGGCAGCTGTAGGATTGACATGATGGGTTAAAGCAGGACAATCGTTCGTAGGTGGTAGTTGTATACTCGAATGGGTTAACAGTTGAGAATGAGAGGAAGAGGGAAGAAGGTGGAAGTGGAAGAACCGGAAATTAACTTGAATCTTCTGAATGAATGATACTTCTTTGTTAGAGCGTTGTTCACTCAAATCCTCTCGGATCAAGAAAGTTGAAGGATGGGCATTCTGGGCTGGAGCAGGACAATCGTTCACATGTATTAGTTTGGGCAACAATGGTGAATGGGAGGAAAGGGCTGCTAGCTGGTAGTTTACAAATAACTTACCAATTTGATTCTTCTGATTTTGGATGATACTTCTGTGTTTAAGCGTAACTCGGTCAAATCCTCTTGGATCAAGAAAGTGGAAGGATGGGAATGATGGGCTGGAACAGTAGAATCGTTCACATGCATTAAATTTGGCAACAAAGGTGAATGGGAGGAAGAGGCTATTATCTGCCAATGATGACTTGTGCATAAAGCATGATGCATCGGCCGTTCCAGTCATGCAAATGAGCCGTGTTACAGAAACACGTCCCTGAGCATCTTTTGCTGTATCCTGGTCTAGCCACTTCACAATGAACAAAGACCTCTTTTCATATAGCATCACGCTTACAGCATATGTAAAACATAAAGGTGTCTGTATCTCTAAACTTTACAATCAAACGTGGGGTCTTTAATAGAACAAGGCTGCTCGGCGGGGTGAAAGCGATCTTGTGTCAAACTATGAAGCCGATCGTGGCCGATCCCAGATTCACCCAATGTCGCCACCAGCCAAAGTAGATCGACCTCTTGAATTTTTTCGACGACGACGAAAATATTTTTTGGCTGGTAGCGACAATGGGTGAATCTGGGATCGGCCACGATCGACTTCGCAGTTTGACACAAGATCGCTTTCACCCGCCGAGCAGCTTTGTTCTATTAAAGACCCCTACGTTTGGTTGTAAGGATTTAGAGATACGAACTGTGTGTTTCCTTATGCTGGCAAACGTGATGCTATGTAATAAGAGTGGTCTTTGTTCATTGTCAAGTAGCTGCACCTGGCAGAGCAAAAGATGCAGAGGGACCTCTTTGTGTAACTCAGCTACTTTGCATGACTGGAAGGATGAAGGATGGTACTGTATACTATTGACAATAGTCCATACATTGCGAGCTAACAGCAATTTCCTCACAATACCAACTTTTGCCATATATCATAATGGAACGATGCTCCTCCTTCAGACATTCATATCCATGATTCAATTATCTTGATCCGAGCTGGTTGGCTGAGCTACGGTCAAAGAGAGATTACATCAATGCATACATCAGCATACATTCGAATGTCTCAGCTGATTAATCCTTGATTCGACAAGTAACTCAACCAAATCAGCTCGGATCAAGTTACTTGAATCATGGGTGAATGTCTGGAGCAGGAGCATCATTCCCATCGTGGTTTTCGCAACAATGCTGATTGGATAAAGTGGCTATTAGCTGCATTGTATGACATAAAAGTGACGGTTGTGTACATATCAGCCATTGTCCCTGAAGTCCTGACTTTTAGCTGAGTTACCCAAAAGAGGTCCCTCTGCATCTTTTGCTCTGCCGGGTCCACCTACTTGACAATGAACAAAGACCACTTCTCATAGCATCACGCTTACAACATAGTAAAAACATAAAGGTGCCTGTATCTCCAAACTTTACAATGAAACGTGGGGTTTTATTAGAGTATTATTGCTCGGCTTGGCCAACTCACCCTGGGTGCCAGTTTCACGATCAAGCTTGCCAATCCCCAGACTTCGCAATGTCGCTACCAGCCAAACTGGATCTGGGGGTCAACCTCTTCGACAACGACGACCAAAAAATATTTTTTGGGCTAGTTGCGACATTGAACGTGAAACTTTCACACGAAGGGTGTATTCCGGCCAAGCCGAGCCCGTTGCTCTATTAAAAACCCACGTTTGACCAACCAAGTTCGGAGATACAGGCACCTTTATGTTTGTAAGCGTGATGCTATATGAAGAGTGGTCTTTGTTCATTGCAAAGTAACAGACCTGACGAGAGCAAAGATGCAGAGGGTCGTGTTGTGTAACACAGCTACGTTGCATGAATGATAGGGTTAATGTATAATTACTTTATGGATCATCTACAAAGACAGGCATGTGACGCGGCTAACGGCCACTTTTGTCAATCATCATTGTTGCGAGATCCACTGCATGGGAACGATGCCCCTGCTCTAGACATTCATTTCCATGATTAAAGTAGGTTGATCCGAGCTGATTTGACTGAGCTGCGGTCAAAGAGGAGATTACATCACTCTGGACATAAAGCACGCTCGATGTAGCTCAACCGATGTAATCTTGTATGAGCGTAACTCCATGAATCAGCTCGGATCCTTCACACAATCTGAAATGTGTCTGGAGCAGGGGCATCGTT